GGCACCATTTTGAAGTGAATGAGAGAGTCAGTCCAGTTTCTAAAAGAAGCGCTGGAAATATTTGTAAGCATATGACAGTGCTTTCTTACCCAACCCCAAGTCAGAATATTACAATCAAAATGTCACATGGGTCTTTCCCCTGGAGTGTGTGGGGACCTCAGGTGGAACCTCTCTGCTTATGAATCTGGAGTCACTGTCAGAAACCCTGCTCAGAAATTATTACTTTGGGCTGAAGTCAATGGGGATTATGGGGAGTGGAAGGGGTGAGAGACCTCTCTTCTCTGCATTTATTATCTAATAAATCTAAATACTAAGAGCCATGGGGGCACTTGTCTTGTTTGATGGGGATCACTCAGGTAACGTCATTGGCAGAATGACCTTTCTCAGGAAGATACCTCACGTTTCTCAGGGTAGTCAAGATCTCGTACTTCTTCAGGTAAGCATTTCCTTAATACTTAACCCAAGTTCTCTCAGTTGAATATTTAATCCAACTCTAATGTGTTGCCTTTGCTGAAAGATGGCCAGTCCTTGCCTTTTCTTACCCATCTTAAAATGAAGTGCCCTTCAGAATAATTACATGATGAATTCAGCCACTGACAGATCCTGAATATTCTAACATGAAACATCTTAGGCTCACATTCGTTTTCTTTGTCTCTGGATTTACTCACAATTATCTGAGGAACTATTCCTCACTTCACCTCTATTTGCAAAGCCCTTTAACACTCACTCACTCTCTGTTGAAAACTCTCATTTTCCTGTGCCAGCATCTCTCCACTGTTCTTATTTTCCAAACTATTGATCAGTTTTTTTCCATTCTCTGTAAGATTTCATTTTGAACAGTCTGCTAGCCAAGGGATCCTTGGTGTAGCAACTCAAAACTAGACACAAAGACACCAGCTCTTTTGAAAGGTCATCCTTTAATCATTCCACACTCATTGCCTTTCATGACTAATGTAAAAAACAATTCAGGAGCCTTTGAGTTGCTGTTTCATGCTTGGCAAGGTCAACATTGGAAGTGCCAGGCTCACTAAGACCTCCCAGGTACTGCTCTGGCCAGGGGCCATGCTCTAGAGGAGAGAAAATCCCTTCATTGAGCATCATGGGGAGAAGGGGGGGCTCTTGATCAATGTGTTAAATTAATTCAAGCTGGAAAGGAATCTAAGAGTAAACTATTTAACCTCTCTTCTGCTTATCTTTGTTTATGTTCTGACTTTAAGATCTGCTTCTTCTCACACTTGGGAATTACAGACATTGTACTGGCCAAGGTTGCAAAGTACATTAGGACTTATTCTAGAAAGGAAACAATGGGATAAAGCTGGTATTTTTAAAAATGTAATTCACAGGGCACCTGGCTGGCTCAGATGGAGGGAGATGAGACTCTTGATCTTGGGGTCGTGAGTTTGAGTTTCGTATTGGGTGTAGGGATTACTTAAACAATTTTTTTTTTAATTTACAGGAGTAAACATTTTTGATAGCAAGAGGTTATTCCCTCGGACCCAAAATCTTTTCAAATGGAGCCTCTTTTAAAGTTAATAAAATGTTTCTGTCTTAATCTGGAGAGATGTTTCTTCCAATATACTTTATGGGGCCATCCATATAGTATTATCTAACTTCCTAGAGGTTCCTCCTCATTTTTCATAAAAGAAATTGCTTGCAGGCATTGGACTTGAAAGCCCTAAGAAAAAGGAAGGATTCATCAAATGATGATTATGTGGGCAAATCCCAGAAGGCTAACTATGCCGGAGCATTGACCTTCAGAAGCACTGAATGCAGCACCAGGATTTAAGACTACAAAACCTGTAATTGTTGTCTACCACCTTCTTTAGTGTCAATAGGGAGAATGCATCTTCCCCTTTGTAACAGAAGAGAAAACTAAGACTGTTTGCTTCCCTTTCCTTCTTTCCAGAGTGAAAAGGTGAATTTTTCTGTGGAAAAATCTTGTTGCGATCTCTATGGAAACTCTCCATGACAATGATTTACTTATCAAGTAATCTTCCTCTTCCCAGAAGGAAGACTAGAAGTGTAAAGAGAAAGGAACAGCAATCTTCAAAAGTACTAGTGAAAACATTTGGTGCAAGGAAGAGCAACAGTTCCATCAGCCACATGGCAGAGCTTGACTTTTGGTGTTTATCAGAACACGTTCCTGATTTCAGTCATTTTCTATAAATTTAGGCTCGTGCTCATTTACATAGAAATATATTGAAATAAACCATTGGCAGCCTACATGGAGACTCAGGAATCAGGAATCACTGGTACTGGGGTTTCAAACATTCCTGTGTTTGTCTGATGATGCCTCCCTAGGCCTGCAGTAAGCCCGCAGAGAAGCATATAGATCAGGATGCAGCACACTATTTCCTCTCCCTGCCTTAGGGGAGATAATGAGCGACTTACAAAGGGATTTAAGACCTAGTCTGGAAACTTAACAGTAAATGAGTTAGGACCCAGAGACGGTTTTCAGCCAGGGTCACCAGTTTCCTGTTCGCAAAAGGAGTTGATCTGAACTTAGTTTAGTGCTTAAATGTCAAATAGCCTATTGAGCAAACTTGAGGTAAAATTCAGATGCTTTAGTATCACTGGCGTTTGAGAATGAACACATTCAGACACTATGATTTTTAAATGCCATTTATTTAACCCAAATTCGATTTGTATTTTCAAGGATGCTTTTCAAAGATATAAAAAAAAAAATTCGTGTTCAGAGCAAACAATTTTGTTCAATTTCTATAAAAAACAAAATTGCTTTTTTGGGGGGAATGGACCCTGTAACATGGGAAATTGAAATTTGCTTCGCTGAAATTCAAATTTATACATGCAACAACAAACATGCTTTGTTTTGGGATGGGCCGAATGTTTAAGAAGCTCCAATGAAATATAAGAATTAATTTGGTAAAAGGCAAGAAGTATAACTGTGGTTCATGGGGCGCCTGGGTGGCTTAGTCGGTTAAGTGTCCGACTTTCGCTTAGGTCATGATCTCGCGGATCGTGGGTTCGAGCCCCGCATCGGGCTCTGTGCTGACTGCCAGCTCAGAGCCTGGAGCCTGTTTCAGATTCTGTGTCTCCCTCTCTCTCTGACCCTCCCCTGCGCATGCTGTCTTTCTCTCAGAAATAAGTAAAAGAATTAACAAAATTGAAAAAAAGATAAACAGCTCTGACCAGAAGCTTTCATATGTGTGTGATCATCATGGTAAAAGGCCTTTTGGTTTTCAGTATTTTGATCCTTTCCATAGGACACAGAGTCTACCCATCTGCTCACCAATGGCTAGCCTAAATGTGTATTTTATTGTATTCTAACAATAAAAGTTAGAATGATATACTTCTTCATTGCTTAATTATTCCCTCCAAAGACAACTACTTGTACTGTGGAAGGAGCAGGGCTTTGCAGTGAAAACGCACAGACCTGAAAGCAGTGCATTAATTATTTTATTAATTTCTTCTTTTTACATTATGGGAAACATTCATCTATTTACAATTTTTTTTTGTCCACACACAATCTAGGTAAATAAGCCTATGAAATTCCACTTCATAAAGCCATAAAAATGTTCCCCACCCCTCCATCTGAAGGCTTTCAAGTGAATCTTTTTTTTCCAAACCAAAATAATTTTTAAAAATTACACTGGGAATTCAGATATGCTAGTGATTTACATTCCAGTTATTTAAAATATGCATCTAGACATGTTTTAAAAAAGAAATGGTAAATTCACAAGGATAAGGCTTAAATTAAAGTGGTAATACACAGTAAAACATTAAGGAAACATCTATAAATAACAGAAATATATTACAAATAAATTAGTTCTATTTACCATTTCAAATATTAAAAATCTTTAATCCATTTCTTCATCTCTCTTTACAAAAAGGTTATGTGAATTGTATGGAAACATCTGCAAAAAATATAATAAATACTTAATTTCTTTGAACGTTTTTTGATGTGGGAGACAAACTTCTTTTGTAGTTCCCCCCCCTCCCCAAGAAAATGCCCAAACAGCTTTATACCAAAGTTAAACAAAATAAGTAATTTTTCAGGGTACACACATTTTCCATTATGAACTAAAAAACGTTTCTACAAATTACATCAAAAAGAACAATGTAACAAAGGTTATGCTCATGGATGTCAGCTTAAGGGGCAAGTGGTTAACAAGCAGCTTTATGTGGGGTCATGTTTGAAGATCAATAATTAGCTTTTTATAAAGTGTTTGTACAATTTGTGTTTTAAGGAAGGCAAAGGTCATGATGCCTGCAGGCATTCGGCTAAAAGATTTAAAATTCTTACCAAAAATAGCTTATGAATATACAAATACCATTCACATAGACAAGATAAATAGGCCTTCTCTTGTCTCTCTTTAAAATATCCTGGGCTAAACCAGTTTCCAAAGAAAATAGGATGATCTTGAATTGTATTAGAAATCGATTTCTTAATCCCAATGTCTCTACCTCAGGGCATGGAGCTGTAGTTGGGAACATGGGTGTTACAATGGATACCGCTTCCTTCCCTTCCCGTCAATCTATGAGTTCCAAGTCATTTTCAGGATTGAATGGGACTATAGGCTACCCAAGGTGGCAGTTGGCCTTACTGGTTGCAAACTTTGTGTGACCTTCCGTTGCTGCTACAGACTAAAGAAAAGGCGTATTCTTTTTAACACAAGTGAACACTTGAAGTTCGAAATCTCTGTAAGCTCCAATTTTGCAAAGCACTCAAGGTGCTTTGTCCACCCTAGTTAAAAGTTGGTTGGTTGGTTTTTAAATAGGTTAGTAGCCCTTTTCTTGTAAACCACAGCAGTAAACATTTGTGCCCTGTTTATAAAGATAGCTCAAAGCATCAATGGCTCTGAGAGGTAGCGAATTCCCTAGTGGTTTTAGAATATGACCATGAAAATAGTTGTTGCCAGAACCCATCACTTCTCTTAATTTCGTAAATAGATTAGCACCTGGCTACAAGAGTATATAATTTTTTAAAAAACCCTCTGGTGCACGCTTATTTGATGTGTGTTTTTAGTCTGTCATTTTTCAGTGGTAATTTCTAATGCTTTAGGGGGAGAGCTGGACATAAAATGCCAGTGATACTTTAAGATCATCACATCCTAAATGTTTAAACTGCTACGAGTAAGGGCATTTAAAGATAGCTTCGGCTAGATGCTTAGTGCACACTGACCATTCGTCAGGACTAAAAACGTAAATCCACATTCTCTGCCAAAAGCCTGGGTTTCTTTCAGTGCTTATGAATCACTACTTTTCCCCCTTCTTCGTACTGCTGAACTTTTCAGGTCAAATTTCTTCTCTCACAACCTGGGACTTCAAGATGAAGGGCAAGCTCTTTGGAATGAGGCCGCATGTCTACTTGGGTAGGAAATTTACTGTAATTGGTTTGACACAGGACGAAAGCCTTATGCTGGGGTATGATAGGATTCTGGGTAGCAGTTTGAGAAGACCAAAGGTGAAAATATGTCTGCATTACAAACTACTGGGTTACAGCAGATGGATGTGTAGCATTCAAAGGGATGACAGGAAAATCCAAACTTCTCTCTGAAACACCCTCCCTGCCATTTACAGCACTTCTTAAGCAGGTGTGTACTTATATGCGTAATTAGATAGACACCCCCCCCCCCAGGACGGACACTAACAAATTAAGAGGACCAACACTTTCCCCTTTAAAGACCCCCCACCACAACAACAATATAATACACATAGTACAGTAAGAGTTGATAAAACGTTTCAGCTCTAAATTGTCTTAATTTAGGACAAAAAAAAAATCCCTTATGTAGTATATCTTAAACTATCAGTGCTTCCTTGCCTTGCCTTTCTTCATTTTATTGCCTTTCAGAATAGATTAATTTCCCTGAAAGATCGAATTTACAATCTTCTGCTGATTGAAACATTTGAAGCAGTGATGGAGTAACAGAGAGGCAGTTGGTGCAGCTGTGAGTGAAGCAGGCAATCCCCAGCACCTGCAGAGTTTGCTTCTCCCTTCCCCACTACGTATCCAGCCCCACTTCGTCCCCTCTAGGATTGTCACTCATCGATTCCGGTGAGATGGCGTGATTTCTGAGGTTGGAAATAAAGTGCTCCATCTGCTTTACAAAATAATAACCGTTTGGGGGAAATAAAGGGAATCGGAGCCCTAGTTTCTTTCACGTGGAAGACGGTTAAGTCCCAAAGGATCACCCTGTGCTACTGGATTTCTGAAATACCCTATGGTTTTATATTGCTGAGCTCTAGGGACAGACTAGCTTGGGAGAACTGAGGATGGTGGGCGACCTAAACGGGCCATTTCTACACAGGTGGGTTTGGCTCTGCCGAGAAAAGAAAGGGCCGGCTGTGCGGATGAGGCAGGTGGGTGACGCGTCAGTACGGGTGGCGAAGCTCGGTGGAGAACGTGGGCAAACCGGTCCGGGCGGCTGGGGCTACTGGGGGCGGGGGAGGGGGTGGGGGACGGCTCCTGCAAGACCGACAACTACACCGCGACAGTGGAAGTCACTGAGCTCCGGGACCGACGGGCTCGGAGGGCGGGGAGGGGCGGAGGGAGGACGGCGCGCGCGGGCGGCGCGGCGGGGCGCGCGGGCGGCTCAGAGCCGGGTCTGCGCCTCGGGGATGTAGATCTCGATGCTCTCGGCGCTCTCGGTGGCCGAGTTCTGGCGGACGGACGCGGCGCGCTTGGCGGCCATCAGGCGCTTGCGGGCCTCCTGGCGCTGCGAGCTCTCCAGCGAGCGCTCCCGGATCAGCGGCGCGGGGCCCTTCGCCGGCTTCTTTGGCACTGGAGGAGGGGCCCTTCTCTCCTGATCAAAGCAGAAGGTTCAGGACATTACACAGCTTCTCAGGACAAGCTTGGGAAAAACTGGGATAGGTCAGTAGTTAGAACCCGCACAATCTTTTGGTTTTGGTTTTCTTTCTTTTTCTTTTTTTTTTTTAAACCTAAGGGTGGTTAGTTCTGATCTGCACGCTGTAAATGTTATATATATATATATATTTTTTTTTTCCTTTTTTCTTTATTATTCTGGCTTGGGTATTCAAAAGATGCGGGGTGGGGGGCGGGATACCGGTAAGCCTAAGGCCAAGGGCAAGGCTGAATTGCGGAACTAGTCTCTCCAAGGGAAGGATGTGGGTATTTAAAATGCCCCCTGCTGAAAGGCTGCGGCTCCCGGCACATTTAGTGTGGTTCTCTCTGGAGGCTCCAGACTCTTCCGGGTGCCAGGGATGGGTTAGGGTGGCCGCGGCAGCAGCAGCCTCTGGGAACTCTGCCTCCCCTCCAAGGAGGCGAGGCAGCGGCTGCGAGCTCGGCTCAGAGTTTAAAAACATCCCCGCCCTGTCCCCGAGCCCACCCACCCAAAGCTAAAAGGCCAAATGAGGAAGAGGAGATGTTAAGACTGTGTTCTTTAGCTTTGTCGATGCCACTGTGAGTTATACCCGTTTGGACATCACATACAAACACACAGCTATATACTTCCTGGGGTCACCCTGGAGGGAGGACACTGGTGGTTCCTCCGCTCGGGGGGGTGGAATCCGTTTCCAGACAGCCTCCTAAAACAGCCCCCTGGGACGTCACTCCTTAGGGGCCTCAGGACGGCTGTGGTGGCCCAGAAGGCAATTCCTTCCAATCACCAGGACAGACACTGTGCCTTGAAAATTTAACCCAGGGTTGAAAGAGGTCTTCCCCCTCTCAGCATCAGCAAACTCTGAAATGGTTGGATACTTTAAACTGCCACTGCAAAAATAACGGCCCTTCAACACTTGGGTCACAGAAAAACAAATGCAGCAGGAAGGCTGCGAATCTAAACCACTGAAGGAATTTTAGGAAAAGGATAGTGAGTTTTTAGGCTCTCGGTAAGGTCCATGTGAATCTGCTGTTTTCATTTTTAGAGAGATACCTTCAATTCTCATGACTCAGATGTGACAGTTATCTTAAAATAGGGATTTTATGATTCTCCAAAGGGCACTCCTGTGTCTTAGCACTTACACTCGTTGTGGCAAATCCTCCTGGCTTGCCTGGGTGAAGTGCCTAGGTAAATTTATTACATTGGAATTGCCCTCAGGCTGTTTAAGATGGAGTCTGTGTGGACCAAAATGGGAAGTTCAGAGTGCAAACAGCATTTGGCCAACTCTGATTGTGCTCATTCCTGTCAAGTTCGGGGGGTGCTGAAAAGCTCTGGTTATAGACAAAGTGTATAAAAATTTAGAAATCAAGTTCACTAATGACTTACTGTGTCCATGTCAACAGGTTACATATGTCAATTCTTACCATCACAAATTTTGGGCATTTTAAATCTTCACTGTGGGGTAACTTGGTGATATTTGAAAAAGTGTGAATGCTGGAAACTTTTTAACCATATCTTCCTTTCCTTGTACTTTAAAAAAAATAATACTTGAAAAAAAAAAAAAAACAAACCCCAGTGAGTGAGAAAGTAGATGGATCAGCTCTAGAAACTAAATTACCAGTATGTATGTACATCTGTCCTGTTTTCTTAACAATTTAAAAGCTTATTTAGTACATAGTTTTAAACACAGATTAAAGAAAACTAGATTGAGTGCAAACGTTTGGCTTCCCAGGTAAGAGGCCAGACATACATCAATGATACTTTCAAGCTTAACACTAAAGCCCCCAGGTCAATGGTGATAGAACTGGAGATGAGGGACAATGACAATGACCATCTTGTTGATTATGAATCGGCCCTTGGGATTGGCTTTTTCCTGGGAGTCCACTGACTATGAACCCGTATACCATGATGGAAAGCAGCAGAATGGACTGGATTATTGTGAGCTCTCTGACCGGCAAGGAGATCTGAAAAGGACAGGCTACCAGAGCCTCTTGGGAACAACCAAGCCTAGTTTTTAGAAGCTGAATCTCTTGGAACTATTTGACCTTCGGCCATTGGAAAGCAAAGGGTTAAAAAAGTCATTGATGACTGGATATTGGATACCTGTGTGAGTCTGGTGGAACCACGTAAGCAAATGTGAAAATTACAGTTCATTAATTAAAGTAAAATAATTTGAATCTTTATTTCTAAACTGTTGATTGAGAAACCCAGTGAGCAATATTCCCCACGGCAAGTCAACCAAAAGTAAAACTCTTAAAAAAAAAAAATCCCAACATTTATGATTACCATGAACCTTTATGGTGTATATTTTTAACCTTGAACAACAGTGGTTTCTTTATTACTATATTTATGAAATGATTATCAAAGTCGGTTAGGGCTTCCTATGTTTCTCAGAAACACATCCTAGGGTGTAAGGAAGTTGAACTCTTGCTCTATATAATCATGCACTGAAGATGTCATTTATTTTAGTTTAAAAAGCAAAATGGAGGCAGTTCCTTCCAGTGACTAAAATGGTTTAACTTAAAGTTTAATTAACAAAAAAGCCACATTCCCATTTTCCAATTCACAAAGACAGGTTTTTCTTAAAAATATGCCTGAAACATATTACAGATAATATCCCAAATGATTACTATGTAAACATTGTCATTACAATGAGATTAATATGATATCAGCTCCATTTCACATTGTAAACAGCAAGACTGAATGCAGAAGCCTATTTAGACTGTCCAGTGTTTGTGCAGGTTTTTAAATGAACCATACAAAATCTACATTGTTCTACCTTCTTGTCAAGAGGATCCATCTGTTTCCAATTATTGGCCTTTAACTGATGAAGTTCATCAAATTTCATACTAATATTTTCTATGGACAACTGCAGCATGTCCCAGAACCCTGCCAGATCCTGGGAAGTGGGCCTCGGATGAGCATTGGGATTCTGTGCAAGAGAGAGAAAAACATTCATGCTTTAGAGGCAATCAGTGACAAGCACAGCACCAAAGGGGCATTTTCAAATATTTCAAATAACATCAGGGGGATGAATTTCTTCTGGCTTTCAAATAGGAGATAAGAGTGAGGCTACAAGTGATAACTCACTACCCTTCCTTCCTATCTATATCTATCATCTATTATCTACCATATCTATCTCTCTCTATCATCTATTATCTTTCTGTCATTTCTATCTATCATCTATCTATAAGATTTATTAAAGAATAATTGAAACACACAATTGTAAGATATTTAAAGTGTACAATGTGAGGATATGATATATGTACACATTGTATACGGCCTCCTCCCTTAGAATTAATAAACACATCCATCACATCACATACTTATCTTTGTGTGTGTGTGTGTGTGTGTGTATGTGTATGTGTGTGTGTGTGAGAACATTTAAGTTTACTCTTAGCAAATTTCAGTTATACAGTACAGTGTTATCAGCCATAGTCACCATGTTGTACATGAAATCTTCAGACCGTACTCATCTTATAACGGCAAGTTGGTACCCTTTCAACCAATGTCTTCCCTCTCCTCCACCCCAAAACCCCTGGAAACCATGGATTTGACTCTTTTTAAAAGATTCCATTTCAGCAGTACCTGGGTGACTCAGTTGGTTAAGTGTCTGACTTGATTTTGGCTCAGGTCATGATCTCACGGTTCGCGAGTTCAAGCTGTCAGTGTAGAGTCTGCTTGGGATTCTCTCTCTCCCTCTTTCTCTGTCCCTCTCCTGATTGTTCTCTCTCTCTCTCTCTCTCTCTCTCAAAATAAATAAACATTTTTTAAAAAAGATTCCATTTCAAATGATAATTTTATATGCTCATCCGTCTAAGTCGGTGATTCACAAATGTCAAGGTTGTAAAACTCTTCTTTTGTATTACAACATCTGTCAATGTGGTATGGGGAGAGAATCCAAACTTTAAAAAAAAACTATGACAAAAATGCATTAAAACATATTTAAATGAAGACACCGTCTTTGAGGGGGGGAAATGCAGTATATTATTAGTGGACTTGGAATCTGACTTCATGCCATCCAACTTATTCAGAGAACAGATAAGAAATCTAAAATAAGATTTGTTTTAACAGTTGTGTTCAGTGAAACAACAGGGTAAACAAATGATGAGTAAGAAAATAATTACATTTTTAATATTTCTTAATTTTGTTTTATTTTTGAGAAAGAGTGCAAGTGGGGGAGGGGCAGAGAGAGAGGAGGACAGAGGATCTGAAGCAGCTCTGTGCTGAGAGCAAAGAGCCTGATGCAGGGCTCAAACTCATTAACCTCGAGATCTTGACCTGAGCTGAAGTTGGATGCTTAACCGACTGAGCCACCCAGGCACCCCCAAAATAAATGTATTTTTAATGTACTGTGAACAATTAAGATGTTACTAATATAGGAAGTCATTTTATCATACAAGTACTTTGACAAAATCTTTTGGAAATTAATTCATTTTAAATCAACCCTAACATAAAATAGCAAATGTGAGAACACATATCTATACATTACACATAGATGTCTGTAATGACCCACTTTCTAGATAATATTAAACAGTCTTTGGTGTTTAAGGATTGACTCCCCCCCCCTCCATCCCTATATCCCTGACAGGTACTAGAAAGTATGAACCATGAATTTATATGATGTAAAACAGAAAAAATGTAACTAAGAGACTGAAGGTGTTATGCTCAGTATTAATCACTACCATCAGTGGTAGCTAAGGGCATTCATGGTTCTGTGGGTGGGAGCTTCCAGGGATCAGAGGCTTACATCTGGGTCAGTTTGGGTTACCTGTGGGTATTCAAGCCAATTGGATATACTGTGAAATCTTATGCCATATAGTAACTTGAGGCCATTTTGTACTTTTTAAAAAAATGTTTTATTTATTTTTTGAGAGAGAGTGCAAGGGGGTGGGGGCAGAGACAGGGGGGCAAGGGATCCAAAGTGGGCTCTGTGCTGACAGCAGCGAGCTAGATGTGGGGCTCAACTTCACAAGCTGTGAGATCATGACCTGCCCCCATTTTGTACTTTCAGACCAACTTTCAGGGGTACCTGGGTGGCTCAGTCTGTTGAGCGTCCAACTTCAGCTCAGGTCATGATCTCACAGTCCATGAGCTCAAGCCCCACGTCAGGCTCTATGCTGACAGCTCAGAGCCTGGAGCCTGCTTTGGATTCTGTGCCTCCCTCTCTCTCTGCACCTCCCCTGCTTGCGCTCTGTCTCTCTCAAAAATAAACTTAAACAAAACAACCAACTTTCAGAAAGTGCAAGGTCAGTGCTCATCAAAGTTAATAGGCTGGAAATGTTTTAGCTCTCTGATGGACTAGCATTATTGGTCTGTCTTCAAAATAAATACACGTCAAAATGTATTTATTAACTTATACTTCTTAAATGGCCCAGAGTTCTGGAATTCATTGAAGACGTAAATTCTAAAGTTTGTAACTATTTGATTCAGTATTAAACCCTAGCTAGTGACACCCAAATTAAAGAGTTTCTCTGCATCATTTTCATTTCGTAAGTTAAAAAAATGTTCTCAACATCTAGGAATAGACAGATAACAGCTTTAACAAAGTACATTGTGAATGGAGTTTTATGGCCTTCCTCATCTCACTGGTAACTCAGAACCCAATTGCTCATACTTTGGAATTGACTATATTCTCTTCAGTCACAAGACTATTGGCTAAATGGTTTCAGTGCAGCAGTGATGAAATGATAGCTTGGTAGGCCCAAAGAGTTTAATTCTGTATGACGGGCGATTTGGTCCCTCCTCACTAAGAATCTCTTTGCCCCTGTGTCATCAAGGGGACAGATGGGGAAGCAGAGAGAAAGAGAAACTGTGGGTCATGTGACATCCCATGCACAGAGAGTTGCAGCCCTGGCCTTAGTCTGAACCAGGCCACTTGGAGGTCGGAGGTGGTGGAGGGTGTGGAAGGATGAGGGGGGCTGGGTTCCTTAACTTAGTTTTGTTTGAAAAAGTAAAGCTCATCCATTTACTGAGCCTGAAAGTCAAGTCTGGGATAATACTCAGGTGTTGTCAAGTGTTCTCCTCCTCAGAGTAAGAACTCCAGCAAGGACGGCTGGGTCTGGTTGCAGGCAATCTTAGGGCCACTTTGGTGCAGATTTATAGACCTAAGCAATGCCACCCCCAGGCCACCATGCTTCCTGCTGCAGAGAGGGTGGAGCTGACTGATCAGCCCATGACCCTCTAGGAGGGTGTGGACTAGAACTCAAATCTCGGGGGCTGTGTGCGGCGAGGGTGGGGGATGTCAAACAGGCACGGAGGTCAGACAGACTGGGATTTGAATCTTGGGCTCTGCCTCTTACCAGGTGACCCTGGCCAAGTGATTGATTGATTGATCAATTGATTGATTTTTAGTTTTTGTTTTTTATTCCTGACCAAGTGATTTAGCTTTTCTGTGCCCATTTCCCTCAATTGTAAAGCTGTCATAAAAATAACATCACTATCTGCTCCATAGGGTCGCTTTGAGGATTTAACCAGAGCATATATCCGAAAGCTCTCAGCATGGCTTCTGGCACATCCTGGGCTCTGAACCTTCCCTTCTGCGACACGATTCAACCAGCCATCCATGGCCCTCCACCCAAAGTGCAGCCCCACTTCCTGCCTCTAACATGCTGCCCACACTTCCAATAAGTTCCTCTCTTGGCTCAGGCATGTGAGCCTATCAAGAACCAGGAAGTGTCAAAAGCTGGCTTTAACAAACCTTTCCTAGAAGTCTGCAAATGTTTCAAAACATTTTCTCTGCAATTTTGTCTTCAAAACTCTGCACAGTGTTCATGTTTTGTTTCACAACATACCTGCTTATTGTATAATTCTGTGAAAAAGTGTGCTGTTTGCCCTATAGTGCTTACATCTTGGCTTCCACATATCTTTTAGGCAGTTTGAGAAGCTTTCTATGAACTTTTGCATAGTAAAAGAGCACAGAGTCATGTTAATTAAGATCTGTGACACATTAGCAGGTTTACAAATTAGTAGGAATTCTGTTCGTGGCACTGAGTGAAGCTCAATAAAATATTTGTTGAATTCACTTATCTATACCTTTACTACCCTATGTTATCCCATAATCCAGAAGAGAATTTCTGAGAAGGTGGAAGGATTTTTGCTGAGGGAGAGGAAAACAAACTACAGATGTGGGGGGTGGGTGTGAGGAGGAGGGGAAGGACAGCCCCAAAGGGAGATTTCAGAAAGAAAAGTCTGGTGAAGAGGGACAGAGAATATCAACTTCTGCATGCTTTCAATTTTCAACCCTGTCTTGATAAATTCCCTTCAGTCTATATAACAAGGTGTGGTTAAAACTCTAAAATCATTGTCCATGAGATTGCAAGTAATCATGTTTTTACTTTCCACAGGATCAACAAGTTGCTTTTCATTTTATTTTAGAGCAAGCGTGACCAACAACTGATCAATAAAAGCTCTTCTTGCGGAATGACACTTGCAGAGAATAGTAGCAGTTTCTTAAAAAAGGCCATGTAAGGAAGCCCTTGCCCTTGCCTTTTGCAGGCTGTTTAAAAAATATTGTTGGTGCTAGTGTGTTTCTGTCTTTTTGTTTTGCTTTATTTAGTTTTTGTATGTCCAAGAAGGATGAATTATTCATTTGTCTCAAGGAGATCAAATCTACACTTTGGGATGCTGTCCACCTCTGGCCTTAAGTTAAAATCGAGAACCCTGATGATGAGATAGGCACTGATGGCTATTTCAGAAGGAACATCATTATCCAAATGGTTTTCTGTAATACCATTTTTGAAATATCAGGCTGCTCTGTACTTTGGTAAAAATACTGAAATCAGGGCTTCCATGGGGAAGCCAGGAAAATGGAAAAATTTCAGTTACAAAGAAAAAAGGCAGGAAATGGAGGTTCAACTTGATTGGATTTTTTCTTCTAAGATTATTTAAGTATAAAATAAATATTTTTAATTTTTAAGAAATTAAAATTTTTTCTTAACATTTATTTATCGTTGAGAGGCAGAGACAGAGTGAGACAGAGTGTGAACAGGGGAGGAGCAGAGAGAGAAGGAGACACAGAATCCCAAGCAGGCTCGAGGCTCCCAGCTGTCAGCACAGAGCCCAATGCAGGGCTTGAACCCGCAAACCATGAGATCATAACCTGACCTGAAGTCAGATGCTCAACCAACTGAGCCACTCAGGCACCCCTAAATATTTCTAATTTTAAGAAAAACAGGCAATACAACTCATCAGAAAACTCTCTATTTCAGGTGAGAGAGTCCAATGGGCCTTAATTTGGTTCAAAATTAGTTGTGCCAGGCTTGACAACACGATCCTCTCCTGACTAGCTGGGAAGTGGTAGTGACAGGGAATGTTACCTACCAGGTTTTCTTCACACAGTTCTCTGAATTGGTAGAATTTCTGGGCCATGAGAAGTTGGGCACTGCCCACTGCGGTTCGGATTTTCCCTAGAACTGAAAAAAGCAAACATACAAGAAGTTTACACATTATGTCTCACTGTGGAGATTTAGTCTGGTGAAGCAAAGAGGAAGTTATGCTGCAATAATTAGGAAAAACAGCACACACACTGCACGTGAACACACACACACACTCAGCCCAGCTGCCGTTGTTACTCTGCTAGACTACGGAACAGAGGCTAGGTGAAAGTATAAAATCGACTTGGACAAAAACACAGGCTGGTCACACATTTTAGGAATGACGGAGTTTTCCATCACAGCGCTGCAGCTTACCAAGAGAAGAGGTCAACAGGTTTTTCTTCCCCCCTTTTACTGCAAGGATAAGTTTCAAGTGTTTATCAGCATAGTTATGGATTTATTTGTGTCAGCAATCACGGTCTGCGAGCTCATTTTTCTAATCCAAATTCAAACACAAGAAAAGCAATCCTAACTTGCAGGGGGGATCTCTTGGCACTCACCATCTCCTATCCATAGCCTTCATTATTTTTCCGGAGCTCAGCCACGGGGACTGTCAGGAGAGCGCCATGGCCAGCTGAAAGATTTTCTAAGGAATGAACATTTTCCGCCTGTTGCCTAGGGAACGCCAGCACCGTCCCAGCTTTTCCACTCCACAGACCAATTTTATTGTTAATATAGGTTTAATTCCCTATGCGCTGCGCTGAAAATCTCCTTTGCAAGCTACTTCTTGTCTTCCGTGCAGACTAAGGCGAGGACCTTTCAACTGAGGGCGTGCTGAGACGGGCGGTTCCGCTCCGCACAGAGCTGTCCTGAGGTCCGCATTGTCCCAAGGCCCTCCCTCCACCCGGCGGGGACCGGGGCACAGCTGCGCTGCTGGAGCTCTGCCACCAGGCAGTTCTCAACATGCCCTCCCTGTCGGGAAGGAAGGGGAGAAGGCGCCCTGCTTGCCCCTTCTTGGCCCCGCAAAGACAGGGAGACTCTCAGAAGGGCACTTGCCCTGGGGTGAAATCTGCATCTGCAAGGGGAGGTGGAGTAAAGGATCCAGTGTGTGTGCCGTGCAGTTGTGTTGCGGATTTACAAAGCCCAAGACCCAGAGTGGAATGAGGTCTCTCTTGCTCGACCTCAGTCCCCACCAAGTCTGAGAAGAAAACAAAAGAAAAAAAAAAAACTTTATTGTGACACAGGGTTTTCTAGTAGTTTTCTTCTCTGTTTAAAACTGACAGGGCAGGGGGCACCTGGGTGGCTCAGTCAGTTGAGCTTCCAACCTCAGCTCAGGTCATGATCTCAAGAGTTGTGAGTTCAAGCCCCTCATCCGGCTCTGTGTTGATGGTGCAGAGCCTGCTTAGAATTCTGTCTCCTCTCTCTGCCCTGTTCACACTCTCTCTCAGAACATTAAGACAAAACAAAACGAAAACCTGCCAGGCTAGACCATGGCTTATGATGCACACTATACTTAGGTATTACTCAAATAGTTCGGCATCCCCACGCATGGAACTTAGGGCGTTTATGAACTGTCTGTCACCAGTCACGCCAAACAGCCCAAATGCAGAAATTGCCTCCTCAGTGACAGCCGGGGTCTTCCCTTGATGGCTCTAAGGCAGCAATTCCTCAGGCCTAAGTGTTTACTTTTTTCCAGTCTTGCTTTTAACACCTTTTGCTATGTGAGGCCCTTCTCCCTTTTTCCACACCCCTGAAGCAGAAAGGAAAAAGTGTGTGGAGACACAGAGCATCCTAGTAACTAAAGATCCAGGCCCTGAGCTGGCTGAGAGTTTTGGCTCCAACACTTACCAGCCCCTGCCATGGACAGGTCACTTAATCTCTGTTCTCTCCTATGTAAAGTAGGGTTAATGGTACCGATTTGTAGGGTTGTTGTGAAGGTTAAAAGCAGTAATACATGGGAAATGCGTGGGACAGTGTCTGATATATAACAAACAACCTATAAATGTTTGTCATCACCTAGGGCCACGACACTACCCTTCCTCTCTGGGTGTGTCACCTGAGGGCCCCACACTTGCTCTGCCCGGAAGAGAAGAGAAAAACAACAACAACAAAGTCTGGATTATTCAAAGGTAATCAAACATCCTTGGTTGCCTGGGACAGGTATGTGCTTTGGATGACCTGTCCCAGATCTGAGACAGCTCTGAGGAGGCATTTCCCATGTGAACATGTGGCTTAGGTAAACTCTAAGGTCCCTGGAAACATCTCTGAATTATGTTTCTGATGGGTACGATTGTGACACCAGCAAATCCTCAGAATGAATCCTGGAAGCTTAGAACTTGAACTGAGGGGTCTCTAATTTGCTGGCTGGGATGGCGGGGACCCTTGGAACTGTCAAAGCAACTCAAGCTCTTCTAATAGTCCTCAAAACTTTGAGCTGATGGTTCTCCGTTACACCTGAAAACCTGAGCTGTGAGACTAGATTACTATAGTGACAGCAGCTGAGTAAGGCAGTGATTCTCAAAGGAGAAGAAAGCCCTGCTCCAAATAATCTATCAGGCAACACCCAACCGTGTAGAGGTCAACCCAGATGATGTCTCCTTGGAAGTGAAACAAGGGACATCTTTATTCAGCATGGTCTGGCGAGAGCCCAAGATTTGGAGCAAAGGTAACTGGGGTGAAGTTGTGGCCCTTCTGTTTTCCAGGTTTTTTCCACCATGTTCCTTGAGTAGAAATTCCTTCCTGGCTCTGGGATTGTTTGCATCTCCAATGTCTGAGTGATAATCTTTCCCGGGCCCAGAAAAGGGAGGTGCTGATGTGGGCTTTCAGAGAAGCCATGCAACAGGTCAAGCAGATTAAATTCCTACTTCCTTGCCCTCTATGCTTTTGTTTCTAGAGAACTAAAAACTCACTTTAATTTCTTTTAAGTTCATTTACTTCGAGAGAAGTAATAAAAGAAGTGCCACTATTTTTAGGTAGGTAAGTCTGGTCTCCCTAGGTGTCTTATAAAACCTCTGGTAGTTAATTTTTAAGATTCCTTTGTCCCTTTCTTTCCTCCCCAGCTGTTAGTCTGTTCCTCAGTGGAAGTATAAAATAACAACCCAGAACACTGGTGAACTAAATTCCTTCCATTTCAGAGATAGGCACCTCCATACTAACTCCGCCACTCATAATTCTAGAAACTTCTCGTCCTGCAGTAGACGGTTATGGGGAATCGTAACAGAGAGCACAGGCCTGGGTTAGTTCACCATATAAAGCCAGGAAGATCTTTTGGAAGGTTATCACTGTTTGGTTTTTGCACAGATCTGCTTATTTATATTATTATCTTGTATTTCTCTCTTTTTTAAAGTTTATTTATTTTGAGAAAGAGAGAAAGCACTAGTGGAGAAGGGGCAGACAGAGAGGGGGAGAGAGAAAATCCCAAGCAGCCTCCATGCTCTGTGCGGAGCCCTATGTGGGGCTCGAACTCATGACAGCAAGATCACAACCTCAGCCACTGTCAAGAGTCAGAAGCTTAACCAACTGAGCCAACCAGGAGTCCCTATTACCTTGTATTTCAAAGCACTTTTCACACATGCATCAAACTGGATCCTCTCAGGACCCTGTGAGATAGGGAAGATACTATCATTTAAGAAAATCTGGGCTTGAATAATGCACTGCCTTCCCTGGTGGACCTATTGTGCCTGGGGCTCAGTCTTCTCCCTCCCCGTCTGCTTGTGCTGGGTTGAAAACTGGGTCCGAATCTACTGGAGAGGGTGATTTCTTTCTTTTATCTATACTTTCTAGCTGGGATCACTGGACAGAAGCGGGGTGGCTGTAGCTAGCTGATGGAAGAATGTGAGGCCATTCAGCAAACTCGATCTCTGCCCACACCGAGATGGGAGAGCAAAGCACATGTTCACAAACTGTTGCACAAAGAGATTTCAGCTGTGAAAAGAATGGAAGAACTGGGGATCACTTGAAAGGGATGCTAGTGGGTGTAAGTAAGGTTTAAGTTTGGGTTTTCCTTTTATTTTTTATTTTTTAAATGTTTTAATTATTTCTGAGAGAGAGAAAGAGAGACAGCGTGAGCAGGGGAGGGTCAGAGAGAGAGGGAGATACAGAATCGGAAACAAGGTCCAGGCTCTGAGCCAGCTGTCAGCACAGAGCCCGATGCGGGGCTTGAACCCATGAACTGCGAGATCACGACCTGAGCTGAAGTCAGATGCTTAACCGACTAAGCCACCCAGGCGCCCCTGGGTTTTCCTTTTAAAGATTCTTTATACATCAGAATAAGAAGCAGAGAAAGACTATTTTGGCTATGAGATGGCTCTCTTGTGAAAAGTCTCATTTTAAGTCTAGCTATAGGTAAAACAACCCCCAGACATTAGGGAAGAGCATACCTCCTCCCTCCCACTGACCCGTGGGGGATGATTCTTATTTGGGAACAGGGAGGTGGTATACAAGGTACAGGGCTGAAGAGGATGACTATTTTTTTTTTTAATTTAATTTAATTTTTAAAGTAATCTCTACACCCAATGCGGGGCTCGAACTCACAACCCTGAGATCCAGAGTCGCATGCTCTGCCGACTGAGCCAGCCAGGTGGCCCAAGAATGATAATTTTGTTTAAACCTGCAAGTGGATCCATGGTAAAGGTGCAAACGTGCTGACCACACAGAGTAAAACAAAGACTGTTTCCCTTGGGGCTATGCTGGACATTCCGCCCCCCCCCCCCCCCCCCCCGCTCCCCCCCAGTCAGAGTCAGTATCCCTAAGCATAGCTCTCTCTCCCTTTCTCTGCCATTGTGGGGTGTGTGGCTGACTGCTCCTCACCATGTCTTCTCACAAGACTTTCAGGGTCAAGCAATTCCCGGTCAAGAAAGAAAAGTGGTACCATCCCATTCCCTCAGTAGATTCAGATGAAAACTGGTAATAAAGTGAGGTACAACTGCAATGAGAGACATTGGAGAAGGATGAAGCTGGGTCTATCAGGATTCGCACATGACACATGTATTTAAGCTGCATCAAGGTCACCAGCATCACCACGATCTGGGCAGTTGGACATGCGTTTAGGGGGAGATGATTTTCTATGTTTCTACACTAGTAGGCTGCCTCAGTAATAT